GAGAGAGAGAGAGAGAGAGAGAGAGAGAGAGAGAGAGAGAGGAGCGATACAAGATTGGTTGTGCGGTCCAAGACAGGAGGTGGCGGCCATAACCGTCGAAGCTCGGACACAGGGTTATAAGGGAGAAGGAAGATGAAGTAGAGGAGAAGGAAGAGACGAAGGAAAAGAAAGACGTAGCCGGGGTGAAGGAGAAGAAAGTGAGAAAGAAGGAAGGAGGGAGAAGGCGAAGTGAAGGTTGAAAGGAGACAAGGGGTCGGCAGCCATAAACGAGTTGGACGTTGACCAAGACGTTGACCGGGGAGTTGATCGAGGAGTTGGCCAGGGTTGACCAAGGTGTTGACGAGGAGTTGATCAGGAGTTGACCAGGAGTTGACCAGGAGTTGACCGGGGGTTGACCGGGGTGTTGACTGAGAGGTTGACCGGCGTTGAACAAGCATTGACCAAGACGTTGACCAAGCGTTGACCAAGGCATTGACCGGAGCTGTTGACCACGAAATTGACCAAGCTGGAGTCGGTATATTCTCGCAACCCTTCAGCCTATCCCCTCGCCTATGGATGTGCACTCACCCATGGTACTTGTTGAGTCTGTCTGTCTCTTCTTTCTGCATTGAGTCTCGTCTGTCCAGGTGATAGGAACTCTGTGTATGAGGTCGTAGAGCTTTGTTGACCGAACCCACACAGGTTGAGTAGGGCTAAAGGCCGTGTCTAACGACTGACGGACCCGGAGGACAAACCCTCCCAAGGACCGGYACAGACCGGCGGGCTGCTCTGTGTGGCATAGTAGGCCCAAAATCCGAGTTGTGGGGTGCACAACAAGCTGTCTAAGTCTTGAGAGGACTTGCTGATCGCGTCGTCCTGTCTGGGACGTTAAATAATTCCTGAGGAGTTACGGGGGATCTCCTTAAATGCCTCCTGATCAGCATTGAGTCCTGTAGTGACAGCTTAGTAATAGGTCTAGGCTAGAGACCATAGTTGACAGGGTCCTACCAAGATCCTGTAGTCCTTAGAGAGTCAATTAGACAGTTAGTGGGTAGGTCTAAGTGGTGAGGAGTGGGACAGTCATTGTCGTGCATCAACACCATGGATGACTACCCCATGTACGGCTTGCTCGTGGGGTTCTCCTTGTGGGGGACCCTCTGGCGTCGCCTCTTTCCATTAGGCTTTTGGAATACCTTCACGTGTAGAGTTGACACGAGGGGTGGTGCTAGTACTACTCGCTACACGAGGGAGCAGGAGGAAGAGGCCACGAGGATTCTAGCCGAACAGAAGGCCACGAAAGAGAAGAGGGTAGTGGTGAAGCAGGCCAAGAAGTTGGTCTTGTTGGAGGAGCAAGCCGCGAAGAAAAGAAGTTGGAGGAAGAGCTGGAAAGGCTGAAGGAGGAGGAAGAAGGTTGAAAGCAGTGGAGGCAGAAAAAAAAGAAGAGGAGAAAAAGGCAGAAGAGGAAGTTCCCCTGTTCAGAAAGAGTTTCAGGGACAGAGGGGAATCCAGTGGCACAAAGAAGGAGGAGGACCCATGGTTTGAAAAGAAGGTGTCTGAGTGGGTCGCTAATCTATCCCTGGGAGAGGACGAGGAGGCAATGATGTATGTATCAAAGGCAGAATAGGAGGCAGTAGTGAAAGAGTGGGAAGCAGAAGAGGATCCCTTAAAACACCAGAATATAAAAAGGAGAAGAAGTTGGAGTGGAAGTTGCGATTGACCAGGGAGAAGAAAAAAAGAATGGAGGAGGCCAGCGAAGCTGCGAAAGAATTGGAGGCAGTGAAGCAGCTAAGGGCGCAGATGGAAGCGCAGGCGGACCTGCAGGGGAAGATGGATGTGATGGCTAGGAATAATGAACTCCTAGCTAGGGCCAAAGAAGAGCAATATCAGTTTGCATGGGGCCAAGATGTAGCTCTGCGGTCCATACGCATAGGGTTCAGGGAGTTTGCACGAGAAATGATGATGCACGTGGGCACAAAAGTAAAAGCCAGGATGGAGAGCACAGAGCGATTCTGCACTGGGGCCATAGAAGGCGCGAAACTTGTTGCTCCTAGGGAGGAGGAAGTTCGTCCTCGTAGAGTACCCGTGAAGGTGAAGTTCCCTGATTCCTACAGCGGGAGGAAGGAGGAGAACTTTGATAACTGGGAGGCAAATGTAAACTCCTACGTACACCTCCAGAAGATAGCTCCTGAGGAGCATATCGCTCTGTCGTGCTGCGAAGTGTGAAAATGATATGGTCGCGTACTCCCAAATTACCCCCCTGCGTGTGTTAGAGCTTCAGACAAACTGCAGACCATCCATTCCCGCCAATGGAGGAATGCTAGAGCACTCAAGGGAGTTATCGATGAGTTGGTAGCTGTTCCTGGTCATGGGGTTACTGAAACCCAGTTAGTCAACATGTTCTATCGTGCCATGCCCGAACCTTTGCGCGGGCACTTTTTTGAGAAGAGTCGGGAGTTTACCATGACCTACGATACTCTGAGTAGGGAAGTGGTAGCGTTTGAAGCATGGTCCATGCCAGTTTCCACTTTCTGGCATAAGGACCTCGATAAGGGTAAGAAGTGGAAGGGTTGTACCATCTCAGGTCAGGTTAAGGGCAAGGATCACCTGAACCTTACACTACATGAGGGTGGTATGGAACAGGTCCCTTACAGCCAGATAGAGTGGGGCTTGGAGGAGGATGACAGTGGCGATAGTCAGGGGATGACTTACGCTGTTGTTGCGGCTGGAGGGAGGTCACGAGGAAGAGGAGGAGGTCGGGGCCAAGGGGGTCAGGCTTCAGGTGGTTGAGGACAGAGCGATCAGGAGGTTGGCGACAGAGGAGGCCGCCAAGCGGGAGGTAGGGGTCAAGGTGCCCCGCAAAACCGCTCTAGTTACAATCGGTCACGCAGAAGGAGTGGATGGCACCCTGGTCTGCCGCAAGGTAGGCCTTGGGAGGATCTGGGCCTAGAACAAACACTGAGGCAGAGGAGGATAGATCAGGATCGGTGTATCTATTGCGGTGATCCTGGCCATATTATTAAATACTGCCCTAAGTACAAAGAGGCCCGGTTCGCCGCACAAGCAGCAAAAGGCAACCGCCGGTAGGGGTTGCAACTGCCCCTATCCCTAGACCATGTGGAGAAGAGTGCGCGCACCACACAGGAACTCCCAAACCACATGTTTCTATGGCAAAGGTTGCTGGCCAGTGCCAAGACAACTGTCCAAAGACTGCTTGTGTTATAGTCTCTCTAGGCACTTCCCTCACATGCGTGGCAGGAGAGTTGAAGGAGAGGATGCCTGCCTGGGCCAAGATGAAGAAGGAGGCAAAAGGGCAACTAGTCTTAACAGATGTAGAGGTCTTTAGAAGTAGAGTAGGGGCCCTTATAGACAGTGGGGCCACCCGCAGTTATATCAGCAGGAAAGCGATGCAGAAGCTGAAGTTGAATCTGAAAGTCCAGAAGTTAGAAGACCCTGTAGTCAGTATCCTCGCAGACAATCGCACTATGCGAGTCGAGGATTACATAGAGGGAGTCGAGGCGTATTTTCGCCTAGAGAAGAATGGGAAGGTGGAGAAAGTTTTCCATTCCCTCACTCTCCTCGTAGAGGACAGCCTTCCTTTCGACATGGTCATAGGAATGGATTGGGGAGAGGCAGCAGGGGCCACACTTCACTTGAGAGAGCATGAGTGTAGGCTCCCTAGCCCATCAGGCGCAGTCAAGACTGCTCGGCTGTTCCATGTGTCAGGAGTAGACAACTCCGTAGCGTATTGTCTCAGTGCTCCCGCGTTTGCGCGATTAGTAAGGAAGGAGCAATTAGGAGAACAGGTCTTTGCAGCCTATGTTAGGCCCGTTACTGAGCTTAAGGAAGAGAAGCCTATCGAGCCAGTCATTGCCAAGTTGTTGGAGGAGTATACGGATTTAGCTCAGCCGCCCGCAGGAGTAGTGGCGCGGTCGATCCAGCATCGTATCGAGATAGAACCTGGCAGTATAACTCCGAAGGGGGCCGTGTACAAAATGTCCCCAAAAGAGTTAGAGGAACTGCGTATGCGGTTAGATGAGCTCCTTGAGAAGGGTTGAATTAAGCCTAGTTCATCTCCATTTGGAGCGCCTGTTCTTTTTGTTCCCAAGGAGGGAGAGCGGTCTCAATGCCGTTACCGTGAAGAATATTGAACCACTGCCCCGTATAGATTATCTGTTAGATCAGGTGCAAGGTTGCAAGTATTTCTCAAAGACAAATTTAAAATCAGGCTATCATCAGATAGAGGTCCATCCTGATGATCAGTACAAGACGACATTCAGGACCAGGTATGGGCATTACGAATTTATAGTGATGCCCTTTGGACTTACTGACGCGCCAACCACATTTCAGCGTTGCATGAATGATTTGTTTAGACCGTGGCTAGATAGGTTTGTAGTTGTATATTTAGATGACATCTTAGTCTTTAGCAAGACCCTCCATGAGCATGAGGGTCATCTGAGGCAGGTCTTGGAGAAGCTGAGAGAAGCTAACTTCAAGATCAACGCAAAGAAGTGTGAGTGGGCCAAGACGCAAGTCCTATACATGGGCCACGTCTTAGATGGGGATGGCATAAAGTCCGAGGAAGATAGCAGCAATCGGAGATTGGCCAACGCCTCGCACATTGACAGAATTGCGGTCATTCCTAGGCCTAGCCAATTATTATGGGAAGTTCGTCAGAAACTTCTCCACTATCGCTGCACCCCTTCGCAGGTTACTGAAGAAAGAAGCAATTTGGAAGTGGGATAGAGACTGTACGTCGGCTCTAAAGAAGTTAAAAAAGGCCTTGATAGAGTATCCAGTCCTCAAGGTAGCCGATCCGTCTTTGCCTTTTGTAGTCACCACTGACGCAAGTCGGTATGGTATAGGTGTTGTTTTACAGCAGGATGATGGTCATGGGTATAGGCCCGTAGAGTTCATGTCCGCCAGGATGCCTTTAGAGAAGGTAGCGACATCTACCTATGAGAGGGAACTCTACGCTCTTAAGCAAGTATTAGATCACCGGAAGCACTACTTGCTTGGGAGGAACTTCAATGTCTATTCAGACCACGAGATGTTGAGATGGTTAAAGACTCAGGCCAAAATGACACCAAAGCTTACTAGGTGGGCCGTCGAGATAGATCAGTTTGACTTTGAGCTCAAGCCAGTAAAAGGAAAGTATAATGTAGTTGCGGACGCTCTGAGTAGGAGGGCTGATTACTTTAGAGCGATATATAGGGAGAGACCTGCAATAGAAAGTTAAGGAAGTGTATGCGCAGGACCCCATCTATAGCGATCTCCTCAAAAGAGTTAAGGAGGCTCCAGAGACTGAACCAGATTACCGCACTACTGATGGGTTGTTATTCGAAAAGACTAATGTAGTTGACCGTCTGTGCGTCCCCAGCAGTGAGGAAATGCGTAGCCTGATCCTAGGGGAATGCCATGATACAGAAGGACATTTCGGTTGGCAGAAGACATTAGCCAACCTTATGCGCGCATATATATGGTCAGGTATGAAGGCCGACTGCATAGAGTATGTACGCAGTTGCGAGGTCTGCCAGCAAAATAAGACTATTAGGCAAGCCCCTCTTGGTCTTCTCAAACCCTTGCCTATTCCCGATGGGCTCGGAGACTTTGTATCCATCGACTTCATGGATGCTAAGGTCAGGAGTAGGCATGGCAAGAGCCAAGTCATGGTGATAGTTAATCGATTTAGTAAGTATGCAGTGTTTGTTCCTTTGCCTTCCGAGGCACAGACAGATTAAGTGATACAAAAGTTTTTCGATTATTGGGTCAGTGAACATGGTTTACCTCTTTCTATAGTTAGCGATAGGGGTACCAGGTTCACTAGTCAGAACTGGCAAGAGTTGATGAGAGTTTACGGATCCAAGTTGTTGATGTCATCTGGCCGTCACCCAGAGACCAACAGTCGAACTGAGCAAATGAACAAAGTCCTGCAGCAGTTTCTGAGAATGTACATTAGACCTGACCAAGTTAACTGGGATGAGATGCTCCCGAAGGTAGCCAGTGCTTATAATAACAGTGTGCACTTAGCCACTTGTCGCACTCCCAACGAATTGCATAAGTCCTTTAGACCACGTACACCGTTCGAGGGACTCAACTGGGATCAGATTCAAAGGCTGCCACCCGGAACTAGGGAGTTTGCGATAGAGCATGAGAAAGAAATTGCTACCGTAGTAGAGAACCTCAGGAAGGCCCAGCATAGAATGATAGAGCAAGCCAATAAGCACCGTCGCCCATCACAATTTCAAGTAGGCGACTTAGTCTGGGTCAAGTCAAAGGAGTTTGCTCCTGAGGAAAACATCTCACAAAAGTTATTGCCTGCTTACCAAGGAGCTACCCAGTCTTAGAAGTTAAAGGCGGAGAGGATGGACAGTCCTACACGGTCGAGATTCCAGCACACCTCCACACCTGCCCAGTTTTTCATGCGTCAAAGTTGTTGCCCTGTACCACAAGCCAACAGTTTCCATCGCGAAGGTCCATGATCCCTCCGGACATGGATGGAAATTATGACATTGACGGCATCGTAGGTGAAGATGTGTTCAGAACGGGAGGTAGAGGTCGTCCACAGAAGCAGTATAAAGTCAGATTCGCTTTTCAGGAACCGGAGGATGACCGCTGGTTTACACGAACAGAACTTCTTGAGACCGCTCCTGATGTAGTTCAAGCCTATGAGAGAGATAAGAAAGGTAAAGATCCTACCTTGGACTAAAATATTCTCGGAGGACCTCGAATTTAGGCCGGTGGGAGTGAAACGGTTTTCACCTTAGCACTAGCAGATGCAGATCCCAGGGCTCGATCCCTAGACCTTATCACACCCATGTACAGTATCAAGTCGACCCCTGTGTGTTTGAACCCGTGACCTGTGTTCTGATAGTTGACTGTTGCCTGTCGTAGGTCTGTGTAGCTGTAGGGGTTTGATCTGTAGGTCTGTCGACTAGGGGTCATAGTTGTGCAGCGGTCGTAGCTGTAGCAATTTTGAAAGGTCAAGGTCGTAGCTGCTACAGTCCTGAAAGGTCAATGTCGTAGCTGCTACAGTCCCGAAAGGCCAAGTCCACAGACTTCCGGAAGGTCCGGAAGTGTGGCCTTTCGAGTTTTGTCTCACGTTACTCATAGTAGACCAGAGGCAAGTGGGCAAGTGGTGAGTCCAACTTCGCTTAGTCAGCAGTACCCAGTCCCAGTCTCACTTTGCACAGTCAGCAAGTACCATGAGGGACTGTATGCACCATGGGCCCGGTGGAAAAGGCAGCCCAGCGACTTACAGAAGTATAAATCAAGAGGCAGCGCCCAGCCATTCATTCATTCCTGCGTGAGCCATGCGGAAGCGCTGCCCGAGCATCTTGTGCGAGGTGGTCTGCAGATGCCCGAGGTCGAAGTGGGCTTGAAGAAGTTAGTGCGCCATAATTAGTAGTAGCCGGCGGCCATAGCCGTCATAGCTAGCATTAGATGTTAATGTGTGTGTATGCGTGTGTGATGCAGTGAGCGCATGTGGGGTATTCAGGGTGATCCAGTGTTGAGTGTGTGCGGACGGTGGTGTTGGACACAGTGACGAGAGTTGGGATGTACAGGCGCTGATGCGCCATAGCCTGTTGCAGCGAGTTTGCATTCAAACTGTGTTCTCGTTTTCCATATCTCTGAGCTTTGAGTGGGCGCTTGGCTCCAGTGTGAATTGCCATCTGTTTGCATGTATGCGAACATTGCGAAGTGAAGAAGAAAGCGAGTCTGATTGCACAGACTTATTTTACTTCATTCGTCTATAGGTCCAGACTCCAGATGGATTCAAACTCAGGTCTGTTTTCTTTGTCTTTTTTTTTTTCTTCTTTTTTTTTTTTTTAAATCCACCCGAGTGAACAGATAGGAGTGAAGAGAAGAGCATGCACTCCTACCGCTCTTGCAGGGGGCTCCAGTCTATTAGTGGTGAGCTATCACCTGCTGGAAAGCGGGTCCAGCGTCCCCTGAGATACGTGGTTGAGTTGATACAACGAGCCTAGGCCCAGGGTCCCTCAAGAACTTCGTCGATGATGAGGATGGAACTGCCGATAATGAGCTGTTGATGATGATAGTAATGATCTTAATTCCTTTTTTTTTTCTTTAGGAAAACAGGGCCTTATGGTCCTAGCTCCTTCTATTCTGGGGAGCATCAATCCGGTTCCTATTCCACCGGCAAGTCAAAATACACATTACATCAATGAAAACTCACACACGCTTCCTTCCGTCAGGCCGAAGGACCCCWGAACARCATTGATTACTCCACCGCAGTGGAGGATTGAYTGTCAGCTTGCCCTGCCCCTCTCTTCCCTCTCAGACCTGGTATCCAGATCTGCCAGATAGCACCTTTGCCCCTAGGAAGAGTTCATCCTTTGTCCATGCCGACCTGTTCCATTCATCACCCACCTCCCTGTCCCTTGGTATGAACGACCAGATCACCTTAAACCCTAAGCCCTCAGCCAGTGTTCCTATCTTCTGAAATGTCGACCTTGGGCGCTGGCAGAATTCCGTTTATTTCCAGACCACTGTGACCGAACCTCCCCAGCAACCCCCGTTCATGTACCATTTCTACCCCTTCTCCGACTTGTCCTCCCTTCTCCTACGTTCCCTCTTTGTCTGTGCCCCTTGGATCTCTAGCAAATTGTAAGTATCCCCTTGCGTTCTAAGAAGTGGCTATACTCTCCGACGTTGTCTGCTGTTGAAAGCCCCTTTCTGGAATTGAATTATGCCAGTCTTTCCAGCATATTCGATCTTGCCGCAGTTCTGCAACCTTTGATCTTAATTCTATGGTGAGGTATAAACTATATCAGCACATACATACTGGCCTCACAATCTGTGAATGAGTAACTGCATTTCAATACTTCGTGGGTGTCCCAAGGGAGCTAGTTCAACTAGGTCCATCTGGATTCGATCTCAGTTCTGTATTTCGACAGTTCATGCATGTACCAACTGAACTGGTCTAGGCTCGTTGGTATGCAACAGTGTACCACGTCTGAGTCCCAGCTTCTACCCAGGTCATTCTTTTTTTTTTTTTGCTTTTTTTTTTTTTTTTTTGAACTTCACATCCGGGAAAACCTACTTAACGAGGTGATAAGAGCATCCTCGTTAAGTAGGCCCCAGCGTCTTAGACTCCATCTATTGGTGGGGAGCTACACCTGCTGGAAATTGGGTCCAGCGTCCCTATACAAAGATGTGTTGTGTATCAGCTGGGAATTGGGCCCAGCGTCCCTATGCAGTGATGTGTGGATATGTCCTACTGTGCATCCAGTATTGTCTGTATATGTTCATCAATATATGACCCATGAAGGAAGAACCCTATCTACCCTATCTACCCTATCCA